GACCTGCAGCGTCGCGTCCACCTCCTCGCGGGTCCTCCTCATCGCTGCGTGGGGTCACGAGGCTTAGGTTTAGGGCGCGAGAACCAAGCTCCCGTAGCTCCCAGGGCCCTGCGATAGGTACACGGAACAGAAGAGATGTTTCTAAAGCGCGCCAAGGCGGCTGGGCGCGTGTTTCCGGGGCGGAGCGCGCGGCGGCCGCGTCCCCGGAAGGGCCACATCAGGCGGGGAGCGCCGGCCCGCAACTGCGTCTCCGCAGAACGAGCGGCGGCTGCTGGAAGGAAACCCGCGTCCCCCCGGCGGTAGCTGCGGAAGATCCGAGCCGCGACCCCGTGGGGCGCCACGCGGAACCCTCACCCACCCGTCCCGCTGCCCGTCCCCCTGGTTTCCCGCCAATACCCCCATTTTGTCGCTATCAGAATAGTCTCATCTTCTGCCAGTGGCACGCCTTGTGATAGGCATTTTGCATGCATAATCTCACAGACCCCCTCCCCACAGCCTTGTAAAGTGGGCCTTGTTTATCCGTTTTGCAAATGAGGGATCCAGCGCCTTGCCCGTGGTCGCACAGCCAGGAGGTGGCAGTCTGATTCCAGGCCAGTCTATGGCGCTAAAGCATCCTGCCGGGATTGGTGCTAGCATCTTGGACCGAGAGCGAGGCCCGATAGAACTGCACGGGGGATCTTTGGGTCTGGGGACCATTATATCTGGGAGACTGGCTTGGACTGGCCCCACGCATTGGTTGAGTACCTTGTCAGTGCCCATGGCAGGTTGGGACTGGGGTCCAGAGGAATGGAACCTTTCTGGGGCTGGGAAGGCAGAGCAGTCTCTGGGTCAGGGAGACAAGACAACTGGCCCCTGCAGGATGTGGAAACTGCCCACCTGGCCTTCTCTTAAGGTGTCTGCTAGACTAAATCTTAGTGACCTGAATACAACGTTTTAAGACAAGATATGCACATACATGAATAACATAACAGCATGTGGTAAGCTCTCCCAGGGATGCATGTAGGCTCCCCTTGAGGCTTTCACCGCCCCTGAGAGGAATACTCCAGTTAAGTAGTGGCCTCCTATTAGTCTGTGTAAAGCAGACTTTGGTCGAAGTCAAAAAAGGAGGGTGGGTGAGTGAGTGGTTGAATTCAAAGGAAATGTGCAGGCATTTTCTTTAAACTCCTGTGTGAGATTATATGCAGACACAGAGTAGAGCACCCCAGGAGTCTGGGTGGTGCTTTAGTTGGTGGCAGAAATGTTCCTCTGAACTACTTCTTCATTAACCTCTTTTATTATAGCCAAATGTATAAGGAATGTGGTGGAGCGAAATGCTGAATATGAAGGCCGTTGCCTGATGGGAATTTATGATCAGTGAGAGAATCAACCTTTGTGATGCTGTTAAACTGGAAACACCCTATAAGTGAACTCACTCAGTGTAAGGAGAATGCTAGCTTTCCCATCAGACAGGCCTGGGTTGGGATCCCAAATCTATTCTCTCCAGCTTTGTGACCTAGAGCAGTTTACTTAATTTCTCTCAGTCCAACCTCCTTATCTGTAAAAAGGAGATAATAATTCCTACATTCTAAAATGCATGTAAAACAAAGGATGTTTACTAGATGGCAGCTTTTTTGTTGTTGTTATTTACTTATCCTTACTTATTAAATATTTTTATTTTTAATTAATTAATTAATGACAGATTATTGCTATTCCAGCAAGGAGCTGGACCTGAGTTCCTCTCTTAAAATAGAATGATGATAGTTTTTATTAATTCATTTTTTTACAGTCAGGCTGATGGATACATTTTTCTAAAGTAAAAGATTTTCTACATATTTTTCTTAAATGTTTGAGACTTGCTCAGTCATCCAGCTGGTGACAAGAAAAAAGAAAAACTCTTTTAATAGGTAAACAGTCACAGAAAAACTTCCAAAGAGCCAACCATACTAAATTAATACTGTTTTCATGGACACCATACACTTGATTATAGTGTTCATGTAATGTGTTTCATAGTATGAAAAGAAAATTTTACCTGGTAAACCATTATTCACATAAAAATTACATATGAGCATTTTGTTGTTGTTGTTTCCTATCTTCTTTATTCTTTATTAATCTAGTTAAGAGCATGGCGATGTCCAGGCGTTCCGAAGACTTAAAATGTCCCATCACCGTAGCCTTGGTTTGGACCCTTATTTCCTATTCCTGTGGCCTCCTAACAAGTTTTCCAGCTTTTATTCTCCTTCCCCCAAATCGCAAAACTATGATAAATATAATTAACATCTTAAGAGAAATGAGAGATAATCCATAGATAACAGTCAGCCAGAGATCAAAGATCATTTCCTGGTTCCCAAACGTCATTCCCATTTTTAATGATGCTTGGCAGCCTCTCACATTATTTCCTTTACTCATAGAATAAGAATTATTGTAGTAGAAAAGGCAAATTAGAAGCCCAGAAACTGTCTCCACTAGGATACGATTTTGGTCATCATTAAGCAGAGTGCCCACCGCCGAAAAGGCAAATTAGAAGCCCAGAAACTGTCTCCACGCAGAAATTAAAAACAGTATCACACATCTGGGCTAATGGCAGAAATTAAGAAATCAAAGACTTAAGGGTGCAAGGGTAGTGGTTCCGTTCATATACCTGTTTAACTCACCTGTCTGCCCCCTGCAGATGCTGTGTCTGAATGTAATATTTTTCCTCAAGCAGATTAACACAGTCGTAGGCACATGGTATGCAAATTTGATCCGATATATTTGGCCTCGCCTCTGCCAACTTTTTTTCTCTATTTACTGAACATTTTTGTTGCTTTTGTTGTTTCTTATTTTCTTTCACGATCTTTCATTGCATTAATTACGTTTGTTTGATTATTTTTTTCCTCTAGCCATTTGGAAGATCTGTATCCTATCCTGCCTCCTGCTGCTTTCCCGCATCTTCTTCAATGCCTCCTTGCAACATCAGGCACACTGACTCTCTAAGAGGTCTTTACTCTCACCATGATGCCTCCTGCTATTTGGGGCTGCTTTGCCTGGCATGTTCTTCGCTTCCTTCTTTGCCTGGTGAACACCTATTCATTCTCTAGCTGATAGAATCCTCTGAGATGTTGGAAACGTTCTATGTTGGCACAGTTCAATTTGGCAGCTACTAGCCAAATGTAGCTTTTGAGTGCTTGAAATGTGAATAGTGCGATTGAGGAATTGAATTTTAAATTTTATTTAATTTTAGTTAAATTTAAATAGTCACATGTGGCTGGCTAGTGGGTACTTTATTGGACCACTCAGCTCTAGTTAAATAGTCATTTAGGAATCTTTCTCTGACCTCTCTAATCAGATCAAGCCTCTCTAATATATGCTATCATGGCAGCAAGCACCTCTCATTCCTAGATTTTAAGTAGTGACAATTTACATTTATTTGTGAGATTATTTAAAGTCCTTTATTGTCTCTAAGAGTATAAAGCTATAAACTTCACTAGGATACAATTTTGGTCATCATTAAGCAGAGTGCCCACCGCATAATGGATCTTCATATGTATTTGCTGAACAATTGAATGAATGAATAAGTAAATAAATGGCAATAACATTTACCTCTAAGGAGGGGAGTGGAAGAGGATATCAAAAGGGATTTTTAATTTATCTTTACTGAGAGCATATTCATGCTTTAAATATGTGTAATTAAATACATTAAAATACTTTCCCCAATATGAAAAAACCCCATGTACAGACAAAAAAGTGCAAAAGGACAGATAATAAATCATATATGAATAAAGAGAGGAAAGAAAAGAGAAGAGAGAAAGAAAAGAGTTGCTCATTCTATTTTGTGGCACAGATCGAAGGAAGACGAGAGTTGAAGGAGACCAGTAAGAGCCCGAATGAATGATGAAGGGGGCTGGGTTTGAGAAATAATTTTTTGAAGTAGAATGGACAGCAGTGGCTACTTGATTAGACATGGGGAGCAAGAGAGAGGAAAGAATCAAGGATGCATTCTAGGTTCCTGCATGAGATCATTTCCTCTCATTTACGACATGTTGCAGGAAGGATAGGAACAGATTTGGGGTGAGATAGGATGAGTTCTGGTTTTGATATGTGGATACTGAGAGGCCGTGGGAATATACAGATGAGGACATGCCTTGAAACTGGATCTAGAAGTTGGAATTTGATTAAAGGTCTGGCCAGGAGCTAAACGATAAAGCTTTTCAATGCACACATATGGTAGTTATAAGAGTGCCTATGAATGAGATCACCCAGGAAGAGTGTGACTTACAACTAAAAACTGGGCTATCAATGAAGATTTACCAACATGTGAGGTGGAAACCTTGAAAGAAATACCTTCTCGGGGAAACAAATGCACATGGTAGGAGAAACAGAATAAAGTAATGTCTTGGAAACTGTAGTGACTCTACTTAAAATCATTTCAGATAAGGAAGTTCTGAAGTTCTGATTTATACCAAGATTTATTTCATTCTATGGGAAATATAGTAGTTTACATTTTAATTTCACATCCTTTGTTAAACAACCTCTTACGCCTTAACGTATAAAACAATCAGAATTTTCTCCACTAGATGGTGGTATTGTTTCATGTTTCACACGGACACTGCTTTAGAAAAAGCAAGGGAACATCTATTTAAATATTTACTGAGTCTAGCACTGAGCTGAGCACACTATGTATGTTATCTTATGCAATCTCTACAATAATATAAGTCAGATTATATAATATAATATACAATAATATAAGATGTTCCTTTGTTCAAATTCTCCAATAGATTCTAATCTTTGGAATAAAAAGCAAAGTTCTTACTAAGGCCATAAGACCTTATACAATCCCTATTACAACCCCTCCCCCACAATCTCAAATTCACAAGATGTATCTCTGCCTCAGGGCCCCTTCATTTTTAAATCAACCTGACTGAGATGTAAATTAAGTAAAATAAATGGCATCCACTTAAAGGGTCCAATTTAATGATTCGACAAATGCAGAACATTGCATTATCTCCCAAAGCTTTCTCATGTTCTTTAGAAAACAAAAAGGGAAATTTATTAAATATCAATTGCTACTTACTTGACATTTGCTT